TTTATTTATTTCTTTCTAATTCTTTGGATGCAGTGCAATGTACTACATGTGGCGTAATGAATTAATGCATGGTAAGAGCACACATGAGAAAGAGGATGGCATGGAAATTTTTGTCCTCTCTACTTTATATATGAAAAAAAAATAATAATAAATACCGATAACGTTTAACATATTTACGTCGGAACAGATGCAGGAGGAGCACAAGAAGAATCAAGAAAAAGCATACATTGTCTGTTTAAATTTCATTTGTACGATTCGCAGCGGGAGAACCACTTCTACAATCAGTACAAGACGTATAGAGTGTATATATTGATGAGTGCATAAGTTCGTGCCCGATTTCAAGTGCAAACTAAAATTGAAATTTTTTGAAGAAAGCGCTTTTATTAATCAATTATGTATTCGCCATCATGTTTGGCAATACACTCCCAATGTTCAACCAATTTACGGATGCCTGATTCATAGAAATCACGCGGTTTCTCGTTGAAAAAGGTGACAAGGTGGTTTTTGACGTCTTCCACATTTTTAAATTTATTTCCATTCAAATTGTTCTGCATCGATCGAAACAAATGATAATCAGAAGGTGCAATTTCGGGTGAATATGGGGGATCCGGCATGATATCCCAATACATCTCCTTCAGTTTGGCCAGGGTCGGTTTTGCAACATGTGGCCTGGCGTTGTCATGATGGAAAAGAACTCCTTTGCGATTGGCCAAAATCGGACGTTTTTCATCAATTGCTTTCTTCAATTCGACCAATTGCTGACAATACTTGTTGGCAGTGATCGTTTCTCCAGCTGGCAAGAGCTCAAAATAGATCACCATCGGATATCCCACAAATGCACAGCAGTACCTTCATCAGATGCAATCCACCTTTCGACATCGGTTCCGCCACTTCGTGTGCTTGTTTCCATGTTCTTTTGCGTTGAACATTGTTGTACAGGATACATTTTTCATCACCAGTCACGAGCCGATCCAAAAAAGGTTCGTTTTTGATCCGTCGAAGCAAAGAAATTGCTGCTGACATACGGGCCACTTTGCTTTTTTCACTCAACTGATGTGTCACCCATGTATCGAGCTTCAAAGCGTACCCAACCTTTTTTAAACGACGAAACGCAGTTGATTTGTTGACGTTCAATTCACCGGCAACCTCTTCCGTCGAAATACATGAGTTATTCGCAACTAAAGTCCTTAGAACATCGTCATCAAGCTCAGAAGGCCGTCCACTGCGAGGTTGATCTTCGAGGTTAAAATTTTCAGAACGAAATTTCGCGAACCATTTCTTTACTGTGCGGAGTGCTGGAGCACGGTCCAAATAAACTTCGCGAATATCTTTAGTTGCAGCGCGGAATCGGGCACGAACTTATGCACTCATCCAATAGAAATTGTATTTTCAACAATTAGAGGGAACTACAGACGGACACAGTTGACATTTCTTGCCGATACTAAAATAAATATATTTATATTAAATTTTTTTTTTAAATTATGAATGATACAAACTGATTAAGTCCCTTCACAAAATATGGCTCTACCTGCAAGTTATGATCGAAGTAGAAAGCGATTACCTATTTCACTGGACGGCAGATGTGAATCTGCCAATAGTGTAAATTGCACCTGAACCCATTGCATGCTTGTGGATGTTTCCTGGTGAATCTGCGCCGAACGATAAGCCATTCAGAGAGCAGTTTGGCCGTTTCGAAAGAGGTGAGTTTAGCGTTGAAGACAAAACTAGGCAGTCAACGACTACAACTAATATCTTGGAGCCGTGTATTGCATGAAAAATTGCCAGAAACGACCAAAAGCTAATTTTGCAACATAACAACGCTCGGCCACACGGGTATGTAACGAACGAAAACTACCTGGTAAGGCTGAAATGGTATGCCGTATTCTTAAAATCTTTACACTACTGTCTATTTCCGACGGATGCTAATTGTTTTGGCATGTCAATGGTGGGTGTCTTTTGGAGAAATCTAGAGAATTAATATTTTGAAGACGGTATTCGAAAATAATCAAAGGCATGGATAGGGAAAAAGTATTTTTTACCTTATTTCATGAAAAAAAACACAAGAGAAAAGGTCCGAATTAATTTGTACTATTTAATTTTATATACGATCTCATGACCCGTCACGTGATAATACGTAAATCAAAGTATTTCGAAGTTTGCATCATTTTTAAAAGAGGATAAAAATTTCCAAAATAACTTTTATGAGAGAAGGATGATTTCAAAATTGTTTGCAGGACCACGAAACATTTTCAATCAAATTCGATTGTAATCAATGATTTGCTGAAACTTTGTCGGAAATTTTAAAATTTATGATTTGGAGTAATTAACCATATTAACCATAAGATTATTAACTTTTTCTCAAGTAATATAAACTTTTATTATATCATACACTATGTTGAGTAAGATCAGCACCTATAATTATTAGCAAATTAATTATTACAGTAATATGATTTCAAAAAAATAAAAATACTATAAATCTATTACAAATGATACCAAATGCGATATTTATTTACAAAATATTTTGAATATGAATAAAACAGATTGCGGTTTTGTATAAAATTCGAGATTTCAATCCAATTCGATTGCAAATGCTTACAACGCTGGCAGCAAGTGAAGTGAAAGCAATAAGTTTGTGATTCATATAGCAAAGAGTATAGATTAAGTTGAAGGGAAAACGTGAAATATTAAATTAACGAAGCACTAAAGCAGTAACTAAATATTTGTGAGTTTAGAAAAATAGAAATATACAAGTATTAGCGTAAGAATATACTCTGAGAAGTTTAGAAAATAGTGATGTGATTGGCTTGCGATATTTTATATCATAAGAAATCAGCAATATTTTATGTAAAATATTTGAATAAATATTCTTAAACTATATTTGTTTCAAAGTATTTGTTAAAATAAGCAAAAAAATACTTAAAAATATTCCAATTTTTGTTTATGTATATTATGGGATGTAATTAACTAAGATAGGGTGTAGTCAAGCTTATGGGTATTCAGTTACAGTCGATGGGCTATAATAAATCTGGAAACATGAGATATCCTTGTGCAAGATGCCAAGCCTTGGAACACGGCTAAAAGATAAGAAACTTCAGTGACCTATTCGGTTTAAAGTTTCGCTGAAGTCCAATTGTAGGTTCTGTTACCCAGAGGTGCGCTTAAGAATGGGCGTTAGTGTCAAAGCAAACGGCTAAATGTATTAAATTAAACCTTTCAGCCGAGCTACAGAAGGTTTCGAGGCCCGAACAAACTTTTATAGGTTTCAGAAAGGTAATCTAGCGTCTGATAACCATATTATACTTAATTTATCGAACGGGCACTTTTCTTTTTACGACGAACCCAGCGTTACCCACCTCCCGCTCAATCAACCGAGGGGCGCGCCTGAGGGAAATCGAAAAATCCTACAGACCAGTAACAGTCCGGACTTCCCTGAACCCGAAACCGATCGCGGAACATCGACACTTGCCTCTTACACTAAACAGCTACAGCTACAGATTTGTTCATCAGCTGCATAGCCTGCTGAGTGGCAAAGTAAATGGAACGTCGGTAGCCCGAATCCCCAATCATTGAAGATGGAGCAGTTGTTTGCTTGAACTGATAAGATGCATGCATCACACTTTTCGCAAATTATGGCAGGATGAAAGTCTACCCAATCTACAAAAATAGACACCGCAGGAAGCCTCCGCCGTCACCAAACTGATTGGACCTTATCAGTAAGGCTTTAGATTCGCTAAATACACCATTAACCAGATATTTACCATGAAAAAGACCCGTGAAACTGGGTTGTAAAAACAGATGTTAAGTAATAGCAGGAGCTCCGTCATGATGTTCCAGGAAAAGTTATTGCTTATCATGTGACTTCTGTAATTTAATGATGTAAAAAATAATACGATCTGCAGAGCTGAATAGAGAATTACGATCTTCAATTAGAGTGTACAACAGCCTCGATATCAGAGGCCTAACAACCGCTGTGAGTTCTGCTTTCTCAAGACTGAATAAAAAAGCGGAAGTATCTCGTGTCATCAAGCCAAGAGTCATCTGTTGACGGTCATAACTTTGTAGTCGTGTGCCTTAGAACCAGCAGTTTATCGATAATTTTGTCTATCTTGGTACCAGCCAATGAAGAGACAGCGGCTAAATGGGCAAGGGCATGTCGTCCGAAATCATTCTAGTACAGTTTCAAATGCTGAATAGTCGTACGTGGAAATTTTAGTGAATTAAATATTTAAACTAAGATTTTGAAAAGTTGCAAAAACATGGTTATGCATGAGTGTATGCATATGTATATATAAAGTTTAAAGATGTAAAAGAAACTATAAATAATAAAAAAATTGAATAAAAAATTTTGTATGTGTGTGCTATGAGTAACAGTTTTGGCCTATGAAATATATATATAATTTAATATGTATATGTTTGTTTATGTATGTATATGCAAGTATAAGAGATTCATCTATATAGTTAAAATACTGTTAATAATAAAATAGTTTGCAACTTGTTAGTTAGTTGTGCTTTAACGCTTTTAAATAAATCAATTCAAACTGCACAGCAACGAATTTACAAAAAAATAAGTGAGATTTTTTTATCAATTCAACTGAATAGAATTCAAAAAGAAACTTCTCTCCAAACAATTTGCATTTTAAACTATTAGAACTGCTTTTTAAAAATATCATATTATTTAGTGAAACTAAACTAAATTCAACTAAACTAGAAAATATTATTCGTTAGGCATAAAGTTGTAAATTTGTTTCAAAAAGTATCATTTCATAGACATCGTACAAACCGACACACACCAAAAGATGATCAGTATGTGTCATTTTGCAATATCAATATGAATGAATTAATTGTTAAAGTCTGTCTTTTTTCTTTTCTTTCTTAATATAAAAATTAAATGTATAATATGTATGTATATACATATATTTTTCTGATAGCGTTCTTATTTAGCTGTCCCTGCTGTAACTCATAAAATAGCATTGTCCCGTCATTAGCTGCTTGGCCCATACCTAATGTACCTCGATTTGTCATCATCTTCACCACTCACGGCACCTGTTGGTTCTCCACTCTCGGCGATAGTGCCATCTGCGGCGACACCCTCACCAGCTTCGGCGCCACCTTTGCGCAGCCCCGGAATTGAGGGCATCGACGGCATGGCTGGCATAGCTGGCATTGATGGCATAGACATGGTAGGCATTGCCGGCATTGATGGAATTGAAGCGCTGGCACTGCCTAACCAGCCTTTGGCACTTCCCAACCAACCACTAAAATAGAAAGGAGAGAAAGAAAGAGAGAGAGAGAGAGAGAGAAAATTGTTTAGTATATAACATGTATATTGTTTTATGTTTATATAATATATTGTATTAGTTTGCTTTAATTATAATTAATAATATAATAATAATTATTTAAAACTTATTATATAAGTAAGTATAGTTACCATTTCTATTCAAAGATTTGTTGCTAAAATTTCTAAACCGCGAGAATTGGAACTATGCTTTTAAGCTGGGCAATTATTTAGGACCGTGTGTCAGCAAAAATGCCACGAATATTCTTTTCCAAGACGACAATCGTCTCGAGCTATTCCTAGGGAATTGAAACTTGGAGGGTTTGTACTGCGCAAGGATTTTCAGGGAGCTGGAACTGGGGCTGGTATATTTACATATAAAATTCGAACTCTTTGTCCAAACTTCTTCCAAAAAGTGTGCTTGAGACCGATTCGAGGGTTCGGTTTTACTTAATATGTGGAACTTACGTAAGTGGCTCTTTGCCAAGGTCAAGATGTGGAGCTGCAGGACTGGAGCCCTGACCTACCCAAAGGTAGTACGCAATGCTGACCACTCGGGTCTTTAGTATACATCAAAAATCTGTTCCTGCAAAGTCAATTTGCCATTACTTGAAGAACTTAAGCTGATTGTGAATACTTCAATATGAAATAATGTCTTTTTGAAGTACTTCGCAATGCGAACTATCTTAAACCCTAACTGCCAATGTCTTCAAGCGCAGCGTCACCGAAGCGAAAAGGAAATTTACTTTAAACAATTTTAAATAGTATTCTAGTGAAAAAAAAACGTACTACAGCAGAGCAGGAAGAGCTTTTCCAAAATAGAAAACCACCAACCTACTCGCTTTTACTGGAATTGACAACGCATTGAAACAGACAGTTCTGGTCAGATCAACGCCAACGCTGCACACCTACCTTGCTTTTTCGACGAAAATCGAAAATATTCGATAGTGTTGTTTGACACATACACCTATACATACATACACATGATGTTCGAAAGCAACCATTGCAGCAACTCAATCATGAATTTATTCAAAATGTAGGAATACCTATTGGTTGCACCCCCGCAGCACTTTTCGAGTATTATACTGTTAGCTACAGTACAAATCGAAACGAAAATAATTTGGAAAATTCTAATGCTAATGACGTTAAGAATTGAAAAAGATGAAATGTTAGAAATTTCGATAAAAAAAATACCATATTTGCTGGAAAGGATGCTACAGTGCAAGGGTGTTTTTTTTTATTCATGTGGTTTTCAAGCAAATAAAATGCATATAATTAATGTTATGGCCACTAAAAGAAACTTTTAATTCAATGCAAAAATAATATTTTAATGATCTTCCCGTTAGCTAAGCGTGTTGGAATTTTTATTGAGCCACATGTTGTTTTATTTCACTGATTACTCATACGCCATGGCTTACAACGTCTTTATGCATATAATTTAAAAGATATGTAAAGAAAGAAGTTTCTGTTCTTGAGAAAAGCGTTCTTTCTTTTTAATTATAAAGCGCTACGAAATAAAGAGTTTTCCAATATTATTATTTTGATATTCAAAGAAAAATTATCGTTTGTTCATTTCTATGAAAAGAGGAAGAAATGCCATTAATTATGGAAAACAATATTCTTTTTATGAAATTATCCATCACCGAATCGCAAAGTGGCTGCTGTATGCCCTCAATAGCTTCACGTATTTCATGTTTGAGGCCGTGAATCGAAGTTGGCCTGTTGGAAGAAGTCGTCAGGTGTAAGATCTCAATGGTGAACCGCAACTCTTCGCGAGATAGCACGGTCCGGAAGGAAACTTTTCCCTTATACTCGTAATATAGATGGTTTCGTTGCTTGTGAGGCACGTAGCCCCGTCTTTTTGAAAGTAAACATCAATACCATCCAATTCCGGCCATAAAAAATCCCTTATGTATCATCTCTCGATAGCGCAATCCTTTCACCGTAACTGTTGTTCCTGACTCATTGTCAAAAAACTATAGTACAATGATCACGCCGAACCATAAACCGTATCAAATAGTTATAGGTTGAGAATGGAGAGTCTTTTCAACAATAAATCTTGGGATTTCCGAGCCCAAATGCGATAGTTTTGCTCATTGCCGTAGCCATCGAGGTGGAAATGGGCCTCACTAGATAATTTTTGTAACGAATTTTAATAATTTGAATGCGTTGTTGAAACGTGTATCGTTCAATATTTATTTCTGACGTAGTTTTTACTTGCCAAGTGTCAAAAATTGCAGTGACATCTACCGGAATCTATTTTAAATAGCATTTCTTATTGAAAAATCCTCTATAAGGGCTGATCCAACTAGAAGTACTTTTTTTAATATGTTTTTTTTGTCAGATTACGCGTGAGTCGTGTCAAGCTGTCATTTTATTTTTCTCAAGTTCCAAGCAGACTCGATGATTCCGAGCCAAATTTTATTCAGCGATGAGGCCAATTTCTGGCTCAGTGGGTATGCAAACAAACAAATTTGCCGTATTTGATGCGAAGAGCAACCTGAAGAGATTCAAGAGCTGTAATTTCATTAAAAAAAAAAAACAGTTTTATGTGGTTTGTGAGCTGTTGGAATCACCGGTACATATTTTTTCAAAAATTATGTTGTTGAGAACGTAACGGTCATTGGCGACTGTAATCGCGCTATGACAACCGACTGTATGAAAACTGAAATTGAAGCTCTTGATGCCGGCGACATTTGGTTTCAAGAAGACGGCGCCGCTTCCCACACATCGCAGCAATCAATAGATTTATTGAGAGAACACTTAGGTGAGCTGATTGGCTGCCAAGTTCATATGATATTACACCGTTAGACATTTACCTGTTGGGATATGTAGAGTCCAAAGTGTATGTGGTCTATCCCGCTTTCATTCAGGCCTTGGAACAAAACATTACGCATCTCATTCGCCAGTTACCAGTCGAAATGCTCGGACGAGTCATCGAAAATTGAACTCAGCGGATGGACTATCTGCGACGTCGCCGCGACCAACATTTGAAAAAGATAATTTTAAAAAAATAAATGCCAAAGAATGGTCTTTCGAATGATAACAAATAATTTCCATTAAATTAGGGTTTCCTGTGTTTTTTCTTTAAACGTTTCGAGACGACTTTTAAATGTGATGGGACTAAAATGTATTTTTATCCCACATAAAAGTTAAGATTCTTTCTTAACTGAAATCTATAAATTTTACTACACAACATTTTTTTTAGCAATTTCGGTCTTAACGTCCGGGAATGAAATGCAAGTCTCGTCGGTAAACAATAAAATAATTGTAAATGACTTTACTTATGCAACGTTGATGTTGTTGTTGTTTGCCTATTAAATATTGCATAATAATGAAAATGGGAGGAACTGCATTAACTCATCTGTAAATCATGTTCACAATGCATGACCTTCTTTTGGCGTTTATTGCAATCGAAATAGATTTGAACGCCTTTCACGAGTACATAGGAATATATATGCATACACTATATGCACTTGTATATGGATGTGCATATCATATGCACTTTGGGTGGCTTTAACCGCAAACCAACAAAAATTGCGCAGTTGAATTTGCATGAATTCACTTGACTAGTTAATCAGTGCATATTTGAATATTCCTAAGAATAACGCGGTATTTAGTTATTAATGTAATTTAAATAGGAAATTATAGTCATGAAAGAAAAAATCATAATAAGTCCATTAACGGTGCAAATGATTTATGCGTTCATATGAAGTTTGTAGCTTTAAACCATAAATACCCACAAAGTGGCCACAAAATGGCGCAACTCTCTTCGCAGGAAAGACGTGTGTGGGAAAAATTAAAAGTTATTGTAACAAAGTGTGATGTATAGAGAGTAAACATACCTACAAATGTATGTATGTATGCCTATTGTATGCAACTGCATATATTTTCAAAGTAATGACTGATACTTCATAATAAATCAAAATTTTCATTTACTGACAGCATCTGTGTATACACTTGTTTGTTGACCCCCATGTTGGTCGACACGGACGACGCTTATTACACAAGCACCCGCCGGCGTGATATTAGAAGGTTACTAGTTTACAACTACAATTTTCTGACTAGAATTTAACTAGTCCCTGCGTGACTAATTTTCTTATCAAAGGTATTTTCGTGTTTCGTCTGAAGTATTTAAGTACCAGAAGGGGAAGAGACGGGTCTATCAGAATTTATAACGATCGGATCAGCATAACGAGTCATGTTCGTCCGTTTTTACGTTATTAGCCCGTTAGTTATTGAGATTTTCCAACCAAACCTCGGAGGCACTGGTGCGATCGTTTGTCGGAATATATATACGACATAAGATTTTGCTTCGTAAAACCTTCCAAAAACCGTCAAAGAGGTTGAAATTTGTTATTCTATAGACGTAAAATATATTACACATTGGTATTCAAAATCATCGATTTTTTTAGAAATTAGGATTTGGTGAAAAGTCCGAGAGAAAAAAGCGCTTGAAAGCGTAAAATTTTACTTTCTACACAAGTTAAATGAAGAAATAAATATAGACATCGTATTAAAGTCCCGAAGACACAGCTTTGGGCAGATGTACGATCAAGGCTTGTGCACGATCTTTCATTCCAACAAGACAGCGCTACCTGCCATAGAGCCAATGAAATAATGAATTTATTGAAGCAGATTTTTGGTATGCGCATTATCATGCGTCGTGAGCCTGTGGCATGGCCGCTACGAGATTATGCGATTTAACACCGTGGGGATATGTGAAGCTGCTTGTCTACGCAGATAAGCCGGATACGATTGACGCATTCGAAGAGAATATTCGGCGCAAAAATGCTGCAAAACGTGGTCGAAAATTGGTACCTACGGCTGATGTTTATTTAAGCCAGCTGGAAATAATTTTCAAAACATAATTGCGTGTCCTTGCCTTTATGATAAAACTAAACTCTTGGCTATAACATTAAATTAAACGCGTTTTATTTCCTTTTGATAACCACATGTCTAAAAAAAATCCCAATATAT